ACAGTAGCAGAGCCAGCGCAGGGACCTCCAGGCATGCATGAATTCCACGTCACAACCAAGGGGAACCACAGATCATCGCAGGACCTCCGCAACAACAAAATCAAACATCATCTAGTTCAGCACCACCGAACCAGAAAACATGTACAGGTACGAGGAGAGGCATTACCCAACCGATACCTCCAGTAGATAATGGCTTTTCTCAATTATTTAATATAATTAATGGATTAAATAATCTAATCCAGCCCCTTTTCATTCTTCTTCAACAACTGTCATAGGTTACACAGGTCTGGTGCCCAAATTATGGCCCACAATAATTTAACTGTAGGCTCCTTGTCAGTTCTTCTATGGAATGCCAACGGACTGAAACAGCACAGTACTGAACTCGACTTATACTTGCACGAAAAACGAATCGACGTAGAACTCATCACAGAAACACACCTGACATCCTGATCAAACATTTACATCCAGGATTACACAATTTACAGAACTGATCACCCAGATAAAACTGCACATGGAGGAACAGCTATACTGGTCAAAAATTCACTGAAACACAATCCCGTAGACTTACCCATTACACCCGACATACAATCGACAGGAATAACACTATACACTAAACACTACACTATAACATTTGCCTCAGTTTACTGTCCCCCTAGGTACAAGCTTACACCCACGATGTTTTCTGAGTTCTTCAAACGCCTCGGAAGATGCTTCATCGCAGGTGGAGACTATAATGCTAAGCATCAAGGCTGGGGCTCAAGGTTGTGTACTCCAAGAGGCAGAAATCTCTGGTCTGTTCTCCATGAACTTTCATTAGACACTGTACCACCAAATTCACCAAATTATTGGCCCACCTCCAGACGCAAAACTCCCGACTTACTTGATTTCTTTATTACAAAAGGACTAAGAACCGTACCATTTGCCGTCAATGCAACCTCCGATCTTTGTTCTGATCACTCCTCAGTGCACATGGTTCTCTTCGATGAGCCTTTCGAAGCTCAAAAAAGACATGACCAGGGGCTCATAAAAGGCTGCATGGACTGGGACGCATATAGAGACTATTTGAACACCAATCTTTCCGTTCCAGGTTCAATTAAAAATCATGAGGAATTAGAAGAAGCTGTTGAAAAATTCACAAAAAGCATACAAGATGCAGCATGGGCCTCATCAACATCCAGGCCACAAAAAGCAGCGAACTTGCCCCATTATCCAATGTACATAAGGGACTTGATTAGAGCAAAGAGAAGAGCACGTAAAGTATGGCAGACTAATAGACTTCCTTCAGACCGAAAATTTTTTAACAGATTGAACAACGAACTTAAAAGACATATTCAAAAATTCAAAAGCACAAACTACGACAATTTTATTAACAACCTTTCGACGGACGATGGAAGTTTATGGAATCTTTTAAAGCATCGTGAGGTGTCAGCACCCCTACGAAGAGAGGATGGCTCTTGGGCTGTTTCGGACGAGGAAAGATCTGAACTCTTTGCTAACCATCTTTCCACTGTTTTTAAACCACATACAGACTTAATTAATACAGAACACGATATTTTTGTACATAATAACTTAGACATACCGCTACAGCTCACACTACCACCACCTCCTTTCACACCATGACAAGTTGCACAAGAAATTAGACAATTGCCCAAAAGAAAAACCCCTAGTCATGACTTGATAACTGCTGAGGCGCTCCAGCAAATGCCAAGGAAAGCTCTAGTGTTTCTTACCACAATCTTCAATTGCATTCTCAGGACCACCGAATTTCCTATACAATGGAAATACTCACACATAACCATGATTAAAAAGCCAAACAAAGACACTAACAACCCTTCTTCATATCGACCGGTTAGTTTACTTCCAGTATGTTCTAAGTTATTCGAAATACTATTGTGCCCACGAGTATTACATATACTAACAGACAGACAGATTATTCCTGACCATCAATTCGGGTTTCGAAAATTACATTCAACAACACAACAATTGCACCGGGTGGCTGACTACATCTCTACAACACTAGAGCGGAAATTATATACAACCGGAGTATTTCTGGATATCGCCCAAGCGTTCGACAAAGTATGGCATCAGGGGCTTCTCTTCAAGCTTAACACCATACTTCCACATACTTACTACTTAATTCTCCATTCCTTTCTCTCAGATAGATTTTTCTCCGTTCGACATGGCCAAGGTCTATCCTCAATTCGATCAGTTTTAGCTGGTGTACCTCAGGGATCAATCCTTGCCCCACTACTGTACATCACATACACACACGACATTCCTCAAAGTATCCACACTCTTACAGCAACCTACGCAGACGACACTGCTATCATTACCAGGCACGACAATCCTACAGAGGCATCACTTAACTTATAACATCACTTACAAATTATACTCGATTGGTGTAAACTTTGGAAAACTAAAATAAATTATCAAAAGTCACAGCACATCACATTTACTCTAAGACCAGAAACATGCCCTCCTGTATACTTAGACAACATACCAATTCCACAAACAGACAGAGTACAATACCTAGGCCTTCCGTTCGATAGGAGAATGACATGGGGTCCACTTGTGAAGAAAAAACGAATAACATTAAATCTAAGACTAAAATTAAAATACACTGCTACATATATACATACACTGCTAAGACGACCTTCCAAATTAAAAACAAGACAGAAACTAAGTATTTACACGTATCTTTTAAAACCTCTTTGGACTTACGGACTACAAATATACGGAATTGCAAAACCAACTCACATAAATAAACTTCAAACTTTTCAGTCTAAGATACTACGACTAATCACTCAAGCACCATGGTACGTAAACAATCACACTTTACACACCGACCTACACGTTCCGACAGTCAATGAACACATACGAACGTACTACAAACGATTTCATAACATGTTAAACGGGCAGTCCAACCAGCTGGTAAAAGAAATGGCCACAACTAGTATGCCCGAGAACTCCAGAAGACGACTGAAAAGGGTCTGGATGAGGGATCTGCTTAAATAATGTTAGTAAATAAAAGCCATGGAAGGGATACCGCTGGGTATTGCTATTCCTCATGCCTATCAAGCCTTTTTATTTATTTTTATTATTTTTTATTTTTTTTTTCCTCTCATTACTAAGCCAGCACATCTGCTGATTGTCAATAATAATAGACAGGTGCGGATAAATAAATGTAAGTGCAAAAAAAAAAAATGATTACAACGGTTCTGTTTTGAAAATAATAAATAAAAAATTGTTGAAAACAGATGTTTTATGTCAAATCCAGGTCTGCACAAACTTCTTAAGTTAACATCAAATACCTATACAAATTAACTACTAACAAAAAAAAAATCAAGAAATTAAGAATGAAAATATGGCGTCCAATATAACTTTTTTCTTTACTTCTCAGTAGATGTTAATTTACAACATACTGTGAGAAAAACTATGAACATATTATTTCATAAATAGTAAATTCAATAATAATTTTTAAAAAATGTACTTCTTGAGCATATGTAAAACGTATTTTTATCCATGACCATTTTTGCTTTTTCGGTTACCATCTTTAAAGTTTTGGTAGCTCTAAAACTAGGAGAAGAAAGTGGTAAAATGGACACTGTCGCCGTGCAACATTATGTTTAATAAACTGACATTTTACTGCTTGTTTATTTATTCAAACTTCATCGTAACTATCATTATGATTTTTATATTAAAATATGTTGAAAATATAATATTTTAATGGAGAGAGGATGAATTAAGGAGTATGAAAAATTAAGCTTCCTCCTCAAAAAATTTATAGTCGGGCCCGCCATTAACGCTTTTATCATCTGTGATACATTAACAATATTTTTTAAACTAACTTCACCACTTACAAACATTACTTATTCTCGTAATCTCAAATCAATGTATATATTAATATTTAGGATGATAAAAATCATCCTAAGATCAATCATCAGGCAATTTTTTATTTTGGAAAACTGTGTTTTATCTGTTTAGATTGTCAAAAAAAATATCCTTAATTGGATCGACGTTTATAAGTAATATTAGCGAAATCTGAATGAAAAGAAGAATTGGACACTTGCACCATTAATTTTAAAAATAGTTTTATTTATGTAATAATAATTTAAATTATTTTATCTCACCTATAAAATTTTATAATTGGTAGTTCAGTACATACTTGGTATACAAACATCATAACGTTCTCTTAATATGGTAAAATCAATTTAAGATTAATGAAATGAAAATTACTTTATTATTCTGATTCAAGGATTCGTAAGAATAAAATTAGCATAACGGCATGTAGTGGCAAAATCCAATATGTTCATACTCATGCAATTTAATTTAAAAAAATTAAAAGAGTGTAAATCATAAGAAATAATATACAATAATTAAAACAACAAATGGCATTAAAAATAAATAAATAAACAACTGAAAAAGATTATAATAATATAGACTATCATGAAAAGCTCCAAATAAAAACAATCAGTATTATTTTAATTAAATATTAATTAACTTCTCAACAATATTACAGATATCAACAAAGAAAACCTTTATATCTGACGTTATAAATAAATAATTATGATCAAAATTTTCATAATTATTGAATGATACAAATATTATATATTTTAGTAAATGCAAATTCTACATATACATTTTTTTATATTTTTACTAAACTCATTACATTTTATCATAACAAAGAACAATAAGTAATAATGATAAAAATGTTCATTAACACCATAGTATCTATAATTACTACAAAATAAGTTTTGAATCCGCATAAATTAAGATCATAATTATAATATTTTCTAACATTGTATAATATGTGTCCTAATGGAATTTAAAATAATAGTCATATGAAAGGATATTATATTATAAAGAAAAATTGCTACTCAATATTTTCACTGACTAATTATCGTCACTGTAATTAGTACTGATATATTGTATCATACTAATATATAGATATATATATTGTGATATAAATATATTGCACTCCTTTGGTTCATTACCTCATTCTAATCAAAATTAAATGAACCTGCGAAGCTTTTGGTGCCAACGGAATTCCTTACCAGCCTCGAATGAAGGAAGTGGTTGAATTCCTGCTAAAAGTATGAAACTACAGGCACAAAATTAAAAGTTTAGGTGTGCAGTATTTATTTTACCTATACATACGGTAATAGTATTTTCCATAGCCATGATTTTTATAAGACATTACCTCTTCGATTAGAAAATTTTTAATGCATTCAGCTATTATTTATTTTTTAAGATGTTTTTTTTGTTGATAAACGTATAAAGAAATAAAGAAATTATTTAAAATAATGTAAAATTATAAATATCTTAATATTAAAGGAAATAAAATTATGGATAAAGGACACATATAACAAAGCAATCTAATTATGAATCACAAAAAGTAAAATAAAAGCTTTGTTTATTTATTATTTATTTATTTTTATTGTTGCCCCTTCCCTGCAGGTTCATTGGCAACACTTCCTATTAATACTCTGTTGTAGAATTTTATAATTTTTAAAAATTGCAAAATTTTTTCCACGACTTTTTCGTAGTCGGTGAGGTTTCCTTTCAGACTCTGAGCCCTATTCAAATTTGTCTTTATATTATTTAGATATGTTGGATGCTAATTTATGAATTAAGCTCAATATTGCGTCTCTTATTTACTCTCGTTACCTATGTTATTTACTTTTTTATAAAAAATGCGTCAGGCTTGTATATTAATATACTTCGGATTCATCGCAACTAGTGTTGCTCAAAATCGGTCTTGGTCTTGCACTTTGCAAGACCAAGAGCAAGGCTACATAACTGTTGAGAGACCAAGACCAGGACTGGTAATAAAAAATCGAGCTTTTAATAAAAATTAAGGCAAAATAGTTACTAACACTTGACAATCTTAGTTAGTATACGTTAATAAATGGTATTATTAACATGCCAAAAAACTTTTGCATTTAACTCCTGTAATTTTTTGTTTGTGCTTAGTTAGGGTTCTCTTATCTAAAAAGTACAGTAATATCTCTATATTAATAAGCTAATAAGTAACTGCAAGACTCTTGCGCAAGACCAAGACTGAGTTTGCAAGGCCAAGACTCGTCTCGGTCTCGCATTTCGGCAACACTAATCCCAACGCCTAAAAATAATCTTCCGAATTGAATCCCATATAATACCAAGAGGATTATCGGATTAATCGCCATTTCAGAAAGAAATGGATAAGAAGTAAATGAGAATGAAAGAAAGTGATGAAATATTAAGGAAATCCATAGAAAAATTACTATAAACTTAGGACTAACAAGTCTAGATTATCTAGTAAAGCATTAATTATAATTTGTTGGTTTACAGATTTTATTCATAATTTATCTCGTCTTCTAAAAGTTTCAAATAGCGATATTTCGGAAAAAGTGAAAGTGATAGGAAACATCCTCTACACCATCGAAACGTTGAGGCTGAAGTGTTATGGGCATGTGATGAGAATAGAAGAGTGACAATGGCCAAAAAAAAAAAAAAAATTAGATTGGAAATCGGAAAGAAGATGGAAGAATGGTCACTCGTGGTGAAACTAATATGAGGGCTTGAAGGAAGAAATGATGAACAGAAGTATGCGTGAAGGCGATCACAAAAACATATATAGTTAATGACATATCGTCGACCCCATGTTAAAGTAACGAATGTGAAAAATCAATTTTTTTTATTTCTAATGTTTACCATACTCCATAAGATGCATCTACAAGCAAAATGTTCGAATCTGGACGACGACCGGAAAACAGTTATCAGTAATGTAATTGTGACGAACTTATAGCTTTGTTAATTATGTACATGTTATAGTAACGAATTATCATACTCGAAACAATACATTTAATTTACCACAATTATTTACGATAAAAATATCTATGAACATCATTTATTTTATACATTATATAAAATGAACAAAACTAAATTCTTATTTTTTTAAATAAAATGATTTGATGAAAAAAAAACAAACAAATAATGCTCTTGTGGCAAACGTGTAAGTACTGCGCACCATGTTATTTTTAAATCTTTAAAATATTGTGTTTTTTAATTATTTTTTTTAGATTGGATTACTTGTTTATTGATAAATATTACAATCTGTTTTAATAAAGAACACTTATAACAGAGTTCAGAGAGCATATTCTACATAAACTACATACTTTTTTTTATTTCTCTTACAACTTTTTTCACTATGGGTGCCTCTTTGACTCGGGTAGATATCTTCCAGGATTTTAGAAAATTAAGATCAGAGCCTTTGTCAAAACTCGTTTAAACGGTTATTATTTATATATATATTTTTTTTTAAAGCTAGTTTTTTCAAGACCTTGATTAAAAACCTTACTCATGCCTTAACTTATAATAGCTAAAAATACCTGCGGTTGATTAATCACACAATAATTATATTTTCCTTCTTCTTCTTAAAACTGATAATATGCATTGAGATAATCTATTTACTTCACCATTATCTCTACAAAAGTGATTTGTTCCTGTAAGTACGTTACGTTAAAGTAATGTAAAGGCGTTTTTCACCGCTCCATATAGCACTGAGACAATTCATGGGCTTAGAGAAGGAATAATCCAGCTTACATGGCCATAATCCTCAGGCTAATAAATCAACAGAGAGGAATATCTTAGAGGCAGTCGGGGTTTAATCTCAACTCAAAATGGAAATGGATCCAAAATATTATTCTTTTTCTTTTTAATCGGTCGAAATGATTCCAAGTAAATGAATAAATATAAAATGATTTATCGCACAAACGTTCTTATATTAGACAGAAAGAAATATGAGGAACGAGAAACATACTTTGCACGTCTAACATATTTATTTCTTATTTTCTTATTGCTGTTTTTTTTTTTCGTCATATTGAATTCATACTCATCAACTAATTTTTAGAAGCGTTCGAAGTTACTTTTTCATTTCATTTATCATAATTATATTATTGTGAGATAACTTTTAATTAAATCTTAAATTATATGTACGCCATTGTAAATTATTTAAATTAAATAATAAATGAAGCTTAACGAATTCGTAGGTTACACCCAGTTATTACCGACATGCGTGAGTACGTACCTTCATAATTCTATCATAACCCAATTATACAAGATATATATCATGTAATCTTCATGTCTGCATATGTGCCTGCATATTTTACTAGACATTTTACTCGTCAAATAGAGCATTCAATACATGGGATGATGCGACAAAACACAAATCTCACATTCCAATAATTACCTTCACTCATCTATATATGTATATAGTAAGGGTAAGTATTACGATCGTGAAAATTTTAGAATCTGACTTTTAAACGGAAATACACGTTTTAAGATCCCCTGAGAACAAACAACTGCAAAATGGTCTGTGTGTCTGTGTGTATGTGAACAGTCTAGCTGAAGAACGAGAAGTCGTACTCAACCGATATTAATACTGATATCCAAGATAGGAATGTAAAACCACAGTGGTATCCACTGTAGAACGGCATCTGTGTCATCTAAAATCAGCTCCTCAATTAATTCCTGGTACATACTAATTTGATTTGTGGAACATCAGGAAGGATTTGATTTTGTAATTAATTCAACTTGCAAGTCAATTAGAACCACAGCTGTTTGTAGTTTAGATTTTTTTATCATTTGAACTCTAGAAAAACTGCTATTATTTCACTGTCAAAGTCACTTGCAAGATTTCCCACTTAACGCTTTGAAAACTGGAGACATTTTGCATAAGCACCGGCTCCCCCATCCTTCCTTGCTCTATTTGCAGAACCGTCTGTGTACACGTGTAATGGGGGATTGGGGTACCTCTTCCTTATGGTTTCAAGTGATAAATTCCTTAGTTCTATTTTAGAGCAACTTTTGTTGATTGGTTACAGTAGCTGTAAATTGTTTTGTGCTGACTTTGTAGAAACCCTTGGAGGGATCGTCATGAAATTTTCTCTTGGAGAAAAAACAAGTCCTTTAATTTCTCTAATTGTCTCCAATTTCTTCATGAACGTGACTTGGGTTTTAATCCTCGTTAAGGCAGGTTTATTGCTCCCAGTAGTCAATTTCCAAACGGATCAGTTTCTTACTCATTGTTAGCGCAGCGATTTCATTTCGTACCTTGTTGGATTCTAGATCCGTTTGAAACTACATAGCTGGGATAGGTGTTGCTTTCGGGTCACCAGTAATATTTCGGAGGGCCTTGTTTTGCACTTTTTCATTTTTTAGTGTGTTAGACTCTGGTGCTGTTATAAGTAACTCCCTTCGTTATTCAAGAATTGATCTCACGTAACTTTTATATGGCATCTTCAGAACTCCTCACTTCATACCATTTTTGAAAACTAATCCTATATATTATTTCTAAAAGGTGTTTTTTTTTTTGTCGATACACCATAACTTCTTCAAATCTTCATCAAAGTGGTTGACCACTCATTTCGAAGATATCCTTCTCCTTCACACGCGAAAGATAGTCATATTCTCCCGAAATGTCTGTGAAAAAAGTGATGAAAGGAAAGAAACTTTATTTTGGAATAACTCGAAAAGTATGATTGTTTTCTTGATTGCACCCATGATAATTAAAAAGATTACTTATTTACCTACAAAACAAAAAAAATCGCAAAAATCGGTTAGAAATTTGTAAAATTAAAAAAAATTGTACCGACCGAAGGAGTAAATTGTGTTGAAACATTTGGCAGCTCGAAAGACCCTCGAATACGAATTTTCTTGGTATCGAAAAATATTTTTTTTTCTACAAATTCGACTTTTGGAACCCACCTTCTTTGATTTATTTTCGAAAATCACAAAAAGTGTGAAAACTTCAATATGCTTCCACCTATTCACATAAAATTTTGCAGAGAATAGCGAATTCTAAGCTACACGAAATGACATTGCTATTGGTATTTATAATTTTTTTGGTGTAAGCTTCCAGGCTTAGCTCGGTTAAAAAGGTAGTTTAAAAGGCCAACATGGCCAGAAAATAATTTCTATTCAAAGTTGAGCGGTAAGTTTTAGTTGTGTGTTGCCCGCACCAGTTTTTTTTTTTTTTGTAGTCGTATTTTATACTATATCACATAACAGAATAAAGTTCATACTTCGAATATCTGTCGTAATGCAAATCGTAAATGCAAATTTCGTAATATATATTATATATTTTATAATATAAGATATGAATTTTCTTAGTCTGATATTTTCATATATAGTTAAACTATTTTTAACTTTAAATTATATTTCAGTAATACAATTGTAAAAAAAATGTTTATATATTTTTAGTTAGTTAGTAAATAGGTTTTATTAGACGGTGGATATTATGACTCCTTTAAAAACGAAATAGGTCAAATGAATTAGTTCCGCTATTCCATGAATCTATATGGCCAAAAAAATATCCAGAAAACATACTTTTTCTCTGTAACCTGCCCACCCCTTGATATTAATATATATTATTACAGAACACTAATGGCAGTACAAAGATGAAGACTCCTGGATCTGATAATATAACTTATGAAGTCATTCAGTGTCCCAACCTTTCATGAGAGCACTACTTGCTAAATTTATTCAAGTCATGCTTTTGTTAGAGGATGATATTTTCCTCATTAATTCCTAGCATGGTGCTCGAATAAACATCAATGTTCTGAGCGAGGCGGCTACTAGTGTTGCCCAAAATCGGTCTTGGTCTTGCTCTTTGTAAGACCAAGACCAAAATCGTCTAACTTTTGCAAGAACAGGACTAAGATTAGATTAAAAATAATGTTTTTTATGAATCAAAGTTAATTTAAAATAGTCAATAACAATTTTAGTTATTCTATGTAAATAATTGATAGAAGCAATATACTTTTGTACTTAACTCTTCTAATTTTTCATTTGGGGTTTAGTTAGGTTTTCCCACTCTGAAAAATGACAGTAATGTCTCTATAATGTGTGGTGGTAACATTTTTTAAAAGGTTATTAAATTTTAAATAAAACTATAAAAAAATCTAAATCGGACCAATTATAGCAACGTTACATTGTATTGAATTTTATACACTGATTTTAATAATTGTTCACATACCCGTTTACATTGCTGTATAAATAAAGTTCATCAAATAAAGTTAATCTACTTCAATTGTTTTATTTTTAATGCCCTGGGGCAGTGGAAGGAATTTGTTACATGTATATATTGTATTATTATGTATGCTATACATGTAAATTGTTTCAATGAACATTTTTGAGGGTAAGAAAAAAAAATGTTTTATTTTTAATGAACATATCTAAAATTGAAAAAAAAATCTTTGAAATCGGTAGGAAAGTGATTTAAGTGGAGATTGTCAATACTCAACAACTCTTCCATTCCAAGGTAGGAACATATCATTATCTTTCTTTACAATGCCTTTAATGTAATGTCAAGTCAATTTTATTAATTTAGTTGGACTTTACTATGTTTATGTCAATAAAATATTTAAAGCTATATATTCTGTAGCGTTTTTCTAAGATCTAGAGTAACATGTTTAATAAATAGCAATAAGATAATAGAAAACTGCAAGACTCTTTCGCTAGACCAAGACTAAGACTGAGTGCATGAGACCAAGACTCATCTTAATCTTGCATTTGGGCAATACTATCGGCAACCTGATCAACCGAAGATTAAATGATAAAATAATTAAGAGTTCTTATCCTAATGTCGAGAGAGGGAGAAGGGGAATAGCTTTTTAACTCTGGCATTGATCCTCCACCCTCTCCCCTTGCTCAGAAATATACTTACAGACAGAAAAATCTGTCTGAGAGAAAGTAATAAATAATATAATAGTAAGTATGTGGAAGTATGGTTTTAAGCTAGGACAGAAGTCCCTGATGCCATACTTTGTCGAATGCTTACGCAACATCCAGAAATAATCTAGTTGCATATAATTTCCTCTCTAGTGCTGTCGATATGTAGTCAGTTACCCTGTGTAGTTGTGTTGTTGAACGCAAATTTCGAAATACGAATTGGTGGTCAGGAATAATCTGTTTGTCTGTTGGTATATGTAATAGTCGTATGTACAATAGTTTTTCTAATAATTTAAAACATACTGGAAGCAAACTAATTGGTCTATCTGTAAAAAGGTTATGTGAGAGTATTTCCACTGTATTGGAAATTTGGTGGTGCTAAGAATGCAATTGAAGATTAATAATAATAATAATAACCTTTGTTTGTGCATACAATGAAAAAACAATGGATAAAAATATACAAAATCTCTTATATGTACAAAATCAACTTAGTTGAGGTTTTGAGTTCGATTTCTTTTTTTTTTTTTCTTTTTTTTTATACTTAATTTTCTTGTAACCACACTAGGTAATGAACCTGACCCATCCTTTTCCAATCTTTCCTCTCTAATGCTACTTTCTTCCGGGCTGCTCCCCTGCAGGTCTTCTTCATCTCCTTGTCCCAGTCTTTCGGCGGGCGTCCTCTCTTCCTCACGTGCTCTCTTGGATACCAATCCATAAACTGCCTGGTCCATATTAATTCATTCCTCCTGATTACATGTCCGGTCCAGGTACACTTCCTGATGAGCACTTTTTCCACAATATCTGGAAGGTCAGTCTTATCTCTGATCCATAATTGAAGATAATTGAAGATTACGGTGATGAAAACTAGAGCTTTCCTTGGCATTTACTGGAGCGCCTCAGAACTTATCAAGTCATGACCACGGATTTTTCTTTTCGGCAATTGTCTAATTTCTTGTGAAGCTTGTGATGGTGTGAAAGGAGGTTATGGTAGTGTGAGCTGTAGCTTAATGTCAAAATTATAGTTTACGAAAATATCATGTTCTGTGTTAATGAAGTTCGTGCATGGTTTATAAAATAATTTTTAAAAAAAGTACTTTGCATAAAAATAATTGAAGAAAATGAGGTTGGATTGATTGAGTATTTTTGGATGTTCCTTAGTTAATTCGACTTTTATAAATATTTTTAAATTACAAAAAAAATTATAATTAAAACAAATAAACAAAAACATTAAAAATTATTAATAACTTTTTAGATGTTTTCTTCCAACGTTTCTCGCTCCATGAATGTATTTAAAATTCGAGAAGAAATGCAAATTAGTTCTTTAATTTTTGTAATATGTAATATTTTAGGATTTTTTTTTCTGAAATGTTTTCTACAGCTCGTTTTCATTAGTTCTGATCTTGTTCCCGGACTACAGCTCTACGGACTACCTGACTTCGTAAAGCTTTGTATTTTATTACGAAATAGCTCTTCTTATATTTATTTTAACGCAGAGCAAGATCGAAGTGGCATAGCACTAGATACCCAACAGATAAATCGCATTACACCCAACTGACTAACAAACTGAAATCAGAAATTAGAAAATACAAAATTCAAAATTTACTAAATTTTACTGAAAAACTTACAACCACTAACAAATCATTATGGATGACCACCAAAAAACTTCTTAAGTTTCAAGACTTTAATCACCCACTACTTACTGATTCCCAAACCTGGTCCAAATCCGACGAAGAAAAAGGCCAACTATTTGGTAAACATCTCTTCCAAACTTTTAACCCACATCCCGATATCCTTAATTCAACTCTCATCAATTGTATTGAAGCATAATTGGATATTCCTCTCCAAATGTCTCTGCCACCCAAAGAATTTCATCCCATAGAAATATCCAACATCATTCAAAAACTACCTTCCCGTAAAGCTCCTGGACATGACCTAATTACATCCCAGATCCTAAAACTTCTTCCTCGAAAAGCCATCCTATTCCTTACTTACATATATAATGCTGTACTCCGTTCCACATATTTTCCTGATCCTTGGAAACGATCTATTGTTAAAATGATCCACAAACCCAAAAAACCACCAGAATACCCATCCTCTTACCGTCCTATCTCTCTTTTACCCATCATGGGCAAAATCCTAGAAAAACTCATCTTAAAACGCCTGCACCCTATCCTAAATTCTAAACACATAATCCCAGATCACCAATTTGGTTTCCGAACTTCCCATTCCACTATAAAGCAATATCATCGTGTGGTAGACGTATTCTCCTCTGCATTGGAGCGCGGAATGTACTGTACGGGAGTCTTTTTCGACGTTGAACAGGCGTTTGATATAGTTTGGCACCCGGGACTGCTGTACAAACTCCGAAAATTCCTACCACCTATATACTTCCTCATTATCCGTTCCTACCTTACTGATAGATACCTAAATCAGTATAACTAAAGTAAATCACAATAACGCCTATTCATCCCTTTTTTCCCAGTCCGCTGGTGTTCCTCAAGGTAGTATCCTAGGTCCTATCCTCTATACAGTTTATACAGGTGACATCCCTACCTGTCCCAACACTGTCATGTATCCTGTCAGTAGACAATGATCCAACAATTGCATCCCAAACTCTTCAATCACACATCATAAATCTAGAAGAATGGTGTCAAAACTGGAGAATTAAAATAAACTCCACTAAATCCCACCAAATTACCATTACCCTTCGTCGTAAACCAACGATTTCCTGTCCTATAGTTTCTTTTAACAATACTCCACTTATCTCTGTTGAGCAAATCCGATACCTAGGACTCCACCTGGACAAACGACTAACTTGGAATCCTCATACTTGACTGAAACGACAAGAAACCGCTCGATGTTTCCGATTACTTCAGCACTTACTAGACAAACGCTCTAAACTTCCCATTAATTACAAAAGACTCATATACTTGACTATAATAAGACCTATTTGGACTTACGGAGTTGAGCTATGGGGCTCTACCAAACCATCGAATTTCTCTCGCATCGAATCCTTACAATCCAAAATCCTTCGTAAAATCCTCAATGCTCCTTACTTTGTCACTAATAAAATTATCCATAAAGATCTTAATGTTCCTTATGTTTCACATCTGGCCCAATCCAGATACCTATCCTTCCATAATAAACTTCAGAATCATCCCAACCCTCTCGTTTCTAACCTTGCTTCCTCTTCAATTCCTGATAATCCTCCGAGGCGTCTGAAAAAAAGATGGCCCCGTGATCTTCTAATGTAGTCATATCATTTGAGTGCTACCATTGGGTAGTTATGTCATTATGTCTATATGGGTCATTATATCAATTATGTCCAAATTTACTTGATGTATTTATGTAATACAGTTGTAAATGTCATAAAGAAATAAAAATAAAATAAAAATATTTATTTTATCTACTTTTATGTGTTATTCGCTTTGAATATAACCTTAAATATCTCTAAAAAACTCCACTTTCACGCATATAATGGAAATTTGATTCACGACTCATTTGACTTCTTATTTCTTTCAATTCAATATTCTTATTTTTATTTTCATTGCCATTTATTTATTTATTTTTTTTTTTAATTAGGAATACAGAGAATAAAATACAGCTGTCTTAATTTTAAATGAAAATTTTTAAACTAAAACCACAATTTTAAAAATATTGCTACTTGCCTTCTTACTAAAATGTATCTGAAATTATTAATTTTATAATGTTGTAATGTTATAATAATGTCAATTTTTTTTTCTGATCTTGACTCTTTGACATCAGCCCTGTGCTCAGCCCAGAAATCTGGAGGACCAAAGTAGCTATGTTATTAGACACAGGGGTCGCTCTCACCTTCCTCTGAATATCAGGGTGGGTACCTTTCCGTCCCTATATGGGTCTAAGCAGTGGAGTAGTGGAGTAAGGAGGGACTACACATATTTATTTATTATTAATTATATATATTTTTACTTTTTTTTTTTTAATTCCGTTAACGGCATTTATACTCGTAGCATAAAATGTTTCCAGGTGCCTTAACTCAACTGACCACCGTGGCCTCACAATGTCAATATAATATTGTAATATTAATTAATAGTCTTTCGGTAATTTTTGTTTACTTCATTAGATATTAGCTTTGAAATATGGTTTTTATATATTTTAATATTTTTTTATTTCTATATAATTTTTGGAACATTTAGAGCAAAGGTATGGACAATGAATATGGATGTCTAAAAGAAATAAATTATAAGATTAGAGCTCCGTAGTACATCCTATTTTTCCATCCTCTAAATTTTATAGTTTTTCTCTCCCTGAATTAGTTCTGAACTGGTTTCCGTTTCTACTTCCAGCAAGTCCTAGGCGCTAGAAAAACTTTCTAAGCTCTACAAGTTCCGGCTGCTGACTGTGATATCTGACTTCGAATCTTAAGTTGGGGAGGGAACTTTTCTTATGGTGGAATGAAAATACTAGAGTGAAGAAGTTGTATTTGCGCATAGTTGTTTGAATCGCTTTTATTCTAAAATTATTTGTTGCACAAATACTGAGGGAAAATGCTGTAATACATCTTGGACCTTAACTCAAACAAATAAGATGGCATAATTACTTTGGATCTTTTAAGACTGACCAAAACAAAATATTTGTGGGTTTATTTTGAAGAAAACTACTATTTGTTTAAGGGAATCTACAGAACTTGCAATTTCATTAAACCTCTCATGTATATTATAAAACTTAATTGCAATATATATTGTATATATATATATATATATATATATATATATATATATATATATATATATATATATATATATATATATATATTATAAATGATTAGGCTTTAAGCTATTTGAATTAGATCAAAACTTCACAAATGTAACATGAAAATATTTACTTAAAAAAAATGTAATTTACAATAAAAAATAGTACATACATATATATATATATATATATATATGTATATATATATATATACTATATGTATATACCAAACCACACCAGCAGATCTGACACTTGGCTAGACTTCTACATCATCGACTCAGCACAAAACCTCCTCTCCGCCTCTCAAGTGCCAGTATCCTTTCTTTCATCTCATGATCTGATACAAATAACGTATAATATCCGCACTCCTCCAATCCATCCTCGAACTATCACTTTCCGCCAACTGGATACCCTTACTCGAGAAAAAATATTACCTGATCTAGTAACATTGGATTTAAATGGAATATATCATTGCTCCTCTGTCGACACCATGGTTGATATTCTCACCACCAATCTTCTCAATATACTCAATACCCACGCTCCTCTCAAAACCTCCACTTTCCGTCATCGTCCTGCTCCTTGGATGTGTCAGGAAATTAAGGATCTGCAGAAGAGACGCGACGCTGCACGCAGACGCTTCAGACGGACTAGGCTTGCAGATGATTATCAAATATTCAGAATGCTTCGCAACACGACACAGACAAGGATCCGACAAGCGAAAGCGAACTACTTTCACGAAGCCCTTTCCTCAGCTCCTGATATCAAATCAAAATGGCTTCTACTTCGTAAGCTTTCCCTCTGTGAACCTTCTAGATCCCCTTCCTCAGTTTTCCCAATATCACCTGATGACCTAAACTCCCACTTTATATCGGTTTCCACCTCTTCGTTACCATCCCCTTCCGGCTTTTCTCCAGAGGTACCTTTTAACGACAATAATTTTTATTTTTCCGACATTTCTCCCACAGACCTTATTACCGTTAT